GTAAACTGAAGATGGTATTGGAGTATCGGACGGACAGCGCCGAAATTGTGGATTCTCTCAACACCCTCTCCACTTTCTATACCGAAAACACGCCTCAGGCGCGTCACAATCTCAGATCAACCGTAGAGAAGCGCTCTCTCCAAATCAACCTTGATTTTCTCCTAGCTTCCTAAGCTGCTCAACTCGCTTTTCGAGTCGAGGACGAGGTCACTTCCCTTGCCGACTGCTGCGATAGTCGTGTTCTTCCTTTCTCTTCATTTTTGATCTACGATTTCCATTTTCCTTCGTCTACGCGGATTGTTATGAAATGTTCGACTTATGTCCCATTTATATAAAGTATAGAAAAACCACTCGAACCAGACGGGATTGCAAAGTCATTGAGCAGTTGTAGTGCTAGCACCGGTGATATTATGAATACCACCCAGAGGTTGAAGCAGGAACTGGAAGTTACCACTCAAAAGCAAGAGATAGTTTCATGCTTCCTTCGAGATTATCAGCCTTCTCCTCAAGAGGTTAACTTTCAACCGTAAACCCTTTTTGTTTTAGCCTCTGTTCTTATTGACACCCATTTTTTGAATTCATTATATTCGTTTCCTCCTTTTGTAGATTAATGCACTGAGAGATGAAGAGTTGAATGAAAATTTCTTCAAGGCACTTTCTCATGTTCAAGAAATTCACGCCAATTGCAAAATACTTCTAAGGACGCATCACCAAGTTAGTAATATATTACTTAATCTGGATATGAACTTTTAATTTCTGGATATGAACTTTTAATTATATGACTGTGATTTACACATCAGCTATTGATATCTCTTAGATTATAAGACAAGTTATAAATTTAGTGCTGATTCTGCATTATATCTTTTGTCCCCTAATATTTGTCTCACACGCTCTTTGTTAGTTGCTTATCAATTGCTTCTGTTGTTAGGTTTCTTTGGTCATAGCGTCTGTTTATCTGTTCCTTTTGCTTCCATTTCTATTAACAAAGTGAATTCTTGAAACAATTACTAACTTGAGAGTCCATCACAGCATGCTGGTTTGGAGCTGATGGATATGATGGCTTTTTACCAAGGAGATTATGAGCGACTATGCAGGTGAAGCATTTATAAAATGATACAACTACCGTCCCAATGAGATGGACTTAAGTAATCCACTATGATATCCATTAAGAGTTTGGAGCTTAGGAATATCCAAAAGTAAAAATCTCTTATGTTTCACACATTGTTAATTACTATACTCCCTCTTCCATTCTTTCCTTTTCCATACGATTATTTCTTATGAAAGTGTGAAATATCTTTGCTACATATATTAGATTCATTGCTTTTGGTGGCGGTTGGCTGGGATTGTTGGTGTGGGATTCTCCACCCAACCAAACATAGGATATATAGGGGATTTTCTCAGTTGTTGGATAAGTTGGTTGACATGTCTTGTCACTTTCTTGTAGGTGGGTTCAGGCAGAGTGTAGGAAACTAGGTGACATGGATAATCCTGAAGTTAGTGAGCTTTTGAAAACAGCTGTGAGCTGCCTCAAGGAAAGGCCTGTTCTTTTCAAGTATTGTGCTGAAGAGGTGACTTCATTAAGATCAAAATTTAATATTCAATAACTCCACTGCCTTGTGGTTTTCTAGTTGCTTGTTATTAAGTTTTTGCTTGTGCTAATCACAGGTAGCAAATATGAGACATAATGCATTATTTAGAAGGTTTATAAGTGCTCTTACAAGTGGAGGGCCAGGTGGGATGCCAAGACCAATAGAAGTGCACGCTTATGATCCCTTACGTTATGTTGGAGATATGCTAGGATGGTTACATCAGGTTTGGAAAAAAAAAAAAAACTTTTATGTGGTTTCTGCTTCTCTTCTTCATGCAGTTGGTTGTTAATTTCAATAAACATTTAATTTCATTTGTTGCCTTAATTTTGCTTGGCTGGTTTCTCTGCAGGCCTTGGCATCAGAATGTGAGCTTGTGCTTGCTTTACTTGATCCAGGTGCATGGATTGATACTGGATCAACTGCAAACCGGTTCTCCAAGGATGTAGAGAATGATTTTGGAAAGATTGAACCGACTTGATATTTGTCCTGGATAGAATTTTTGAAGGAGTTTGCTGGCCTTTTAAAGTCAGAGTTGAGCAAGTTCTACTGTCACAACCTAGTCTTATAATTTCTTATAAACTCAGTAACATGCTGGAGTTGTACTGCCACACAGTGAGTGACCTCTGTCTCTCTTCCGATATCCTGGTTGTATATGGTTTGCTTGTCATCTTATGATGAGATTATCTGTTTGTTTACTTTCAGATATCAGATTTACTAGGGAGAGAAACAGCTATTTATAATACACTTTGGGCACTCAAAGATGCTGCTCAGAAAACATTCTTTGAAATTCTGAAAAGTCATGTGGAAAAGCTTTTATGCTATCTTCCCCTTGTTGCTGATGATCTTTCACCACCAGCAGCTGTAAGGGAAGGAGTCTCTGTGCTGCTTGAGTTAACTGAAACATATAACAGCATGATGGTTCCTGCTTCAGGGAAAAAGCCAGCTTTTGATCCAGTTATACCTGCTTTGCTTGATCCAATAATTCAGGTTTGTCATATTTGATGTTAGTTGATAAATTGCATCATTATGATAATTTGTTCCTGGTTGCATGGTGCCAAAGTATAATTTACACGTGTTCCCCATTTTTCTCAAACAAGTGTAGTATTTGAATAGTGATCCTTACAATGTTTAGTGGTTGGTATTTTGGGATAGTTAACACCCATTCAGATCATCGTTCACAGCATTGATATTTGGTAGTTAAAACTTTAGTGTTGTGCTGTAATCGGGACTAATATAGTATCTCCTTTCTGGTTTCTGTACAGACAATTAACTCATTACCTTTGAATGGAATGCCAGATGTGTGAGCAAGCAGCAGAAGCACACAAATCAAAGGGAGCTGGCCGCTTATCAAGAAGAAGTCGAATGAGTTCTGACTCAGGCCAGCTTAGTAAATCTGCAGTTGATGCAATTTTGTCAAATAACAACTTTGCTGCATTCTCTCAGGTTAATTAAGTTGTAGATTGGTTCAATCTTGTGTTTCTTTGATGTCATATACTTTAAATGCATGGTTTTGGGCTTAAACTTGTTGAATACTTTCTGTATGTTGCTTTTTTTCTTTTTTATTCATTATATAACTTATTTGTGCAGAATAGTGAAGCCCCATCCAAGATCTTCCTTATCAACTGCTTATGCGGTATTCAACAACCATTACTGGGACATGAGGTTGCAGCTGAATATGCAAAGAAACTTAGCAAGATGATTGATAATCATGTGCATGTTCTTGTGGAAAAAGAAGTTGACACAATTCTTAGAAGATGTGGCTTGTCAATGAAGATGCATCACTTCCATAATTGGCTTAACAAGGATACATCAGTTGGGGCACCGCTGGCAGTGTTAGAAGATACAACTCCAGCCTCTCTTTCGGAGTGTTTGAAGGCTTTTTTTGGGTTTATTTTGGGAAGTGAGAGTTCCCTGCCCGAGTTTGAACAGATGCTTCCAAAACTGCATTCTGATGCATGTTTACAGGTAGCTAGGTCACTAGCAGATGCTTATGAGCTTATTTACAATGCAATTATGGATCCTAAAACAGTTACCCAGATCCCAAATCACTGGCAAGGCATCCTCCGGATCAAATAAGGACCATTTTAGGAATGTGAGGCTCTAGAGAATATGTACTCCCATTTTTGGAAAAAAAATTTTCACAAAATCATTCGAAAAATGTAAAGAGTCAAAGAGTTATGTACGGCCAGTTATAGAAACTGTTGTCTGTTTGATATTGTTTAGCATAAGTTAGAGGGTTTATTATCCAAGTAAACAAATAATTATTGTATCAATGTATCTTCTTTGATGATGGATGAGTATGTGTTTACATAAACGGTCCTGGTCTTTTTTATTTTCGTGAAGTGGGGTGTAGAACTCTGGTTATGCTGAATTTGTGCTCGCTCTCCAAAGGCTAGTCAGGAATGTGTATTACTGCGGGGGGTCTCTCATTGGGATTGTTTTGTTGAAAATCTGTGTTGATGGAATTAAAGCAGTCGTATGTGCTAAGCGTCAATCTCTTTGTTTTCTCCATTCTCCATCATTTACAGTTTTCCTTTCCTAGTCTCGGGTTTCAGAATCTTCAGCTTGCCATCGCAAAGAAAGACAATTAAGAGCCAAGAGACTTGAAGTGAAAATATTGTAATTTTTTCAAAAAGTCCGGTACAAGTAGTTATTTGGTCATGTCAGCACCAAACGGAACAAAGTCCTCTTCAGTGCATAAATACGCATTAAATAAGACATATAACTATGAAGTGGCATAATGTGAAGACATCATAATAATATTTCCAAATCAACATGTAAGAAATTTGAGCCTAATTGTTGTTAGGATTACAAGAGAAAAGAAAAGGCAAATAACCTAAAGGCTTCAATTCAAATCAAAGACTGGAATTTAAATATGGGATTTTGTATATCCTTCTCTATTTTGGCTAATATGGAAAAACAATTTCTTATGGATTGCAAGTTGCTAGAACTGCTAGAATTTCAGCGGTGCGTAGTTCAATATCATGATATCGTCATATGACCGTGGAGATGTGATGAAAAAAAAGCAACGATCGCCTATGTAGTTGGAAGGGATGTTAACGTGAAAGGGAAAACTGTAAAAGCTTAGACTAGATTACGAATCTAAAACGGCGCACGGGTTTAGAATTTAAAATGCATTCTATCTTGTTAAATTTACCATTAGATTTTTAGATTCAGCTTCAGCCCCACAGGCCACGGTTGAAGGCAGACATTACTAACCCATAGAAAACTACCTCTTTGGTACTTACGACCCAATACAGAAACCCAAAGCCCAACTGAAATTCAAACCTTTTTTATGATTTTTTTTTTCACTTTATTTTTTTTATTTTATAAATAAAACTCACTTTATAATTGAAGTCGTATTAATTAGTCAAATAAATGATTGACGCCTAAATACACAACTAAAAACTAGTCACGTTAAAAGGATGAAACATGAACATGAATGGCTTTTTCTTTAAACTTCTGAGTGTTGGATCTAAAACGTGTTTTTAAGGTGTGCTTAGTTTGGAAGGAAGGAAAAGAAAATGACCCACATTTTTCCTTCCTTAGAAAGAAAGACCCACATATTATTGAAAAATTACAATGATTAGCACTAAGTTTTTTCTTTTTCCTTTTTGTTTCTTAGAGTAAGACCCTTTTAATTTGGAAAATTACAATAAGCACGAAAAAAAAAAAATCATATCTTTGCCAAGAACAGAATCAAAACAGAAGCTGCAACGGGCAACAGCAACACAATCTCCAAAGGCAGCCAAGAACAGAATCAAAACACAACCAGCAACAGGCAACAGCAACACAAGCTCCAAAAGTAGCCTGATTTTCAAAGCACGTTAATTTTGTTTCCTTTTAGACACTCTTTTGTTACCTTTTATGAATCAAAACCAATCGATAGATTGAGGTTGTTATTCCATATTCTCAGTCCTCTAACCCTAATCACCAAAATTTCTCATTTATAAACCCTTTGTTGTAGTAATTCTTTACCGTCTCTGCCGAGTGAGAAGAAAGGACATGGCAGGAATGAATGGAGGAGGGTCCGACAGAGAGGCACGGAAAGCTCATGCCTCCATGGCGTTGGTGCAACTCATCTATGGAGGCTATCATGTAATTACCAAAGTAGCCCTCGATGTTGGTGTCAACCAGCTTGTTTTCTGCGTCTTCCGTGATCTTCTTGCTCTCACTCTTCTAGCCCCTTTCGCCTATGTTCGTGAAAAGTATGACCTTTGTTCTTCTATTTTTTTTTTTTTTTCGGAGTGACTCAGCTTCTTCTTTGTTATCATTGCAAATAAATTGTATCTTTCTAAATTGGGTCCTTTCCTTTCTCTTTATGGCATACTTTTGTTATAGAGATGAAACTGGATATTGGGTTCCTCTCTCTTGGTTCTAATGTTTGGTTATGCGTTATTTGAATCCACAATTTAAGAGTTTGATGTGCTGTCAAGTTACATTGACTCTTCCAAATTATGATTGACCTTAGATCATTGATCGATCTGTTCCCATTAAGATGATCTACATTGTATCCACTGCTATATTGATCGCCTTAATTGGCTTCTTTGTTGACTCTTGCAATCAATTCCTCTCATTTTTATTCAATTTTAATCTTACGTCTCTGTTCGTAATGTATACCGCCAATTTGTCACTTTTATAAACATGATTTTGCTTTTATGGACGCTTGGATCGAAAATATAACTTCTGGGGTCATGTTGCTTCACTTTCCTGCAGAAGGATTCGACCTCCTATGACTAAACGCCTCCTCTTGTCATTCTTCTTTCTTGGATTAACTGGGTGAGTGTTGCTTCTGTAGACCGTTCTAATTGATCTGGCAATATATTATCTACATAAATTGTGCCTGATAAACTTCCTGCTAGCCAACTTATCCGGTTTCAGTTAATTCCACTAGGATATTTGGCAACCAGCTTTTATTTCTCATTGGTCTAAGCTACACAAATCCAACTTATGCTGCTGCCATACAGCCTTCAATTCCAGTCTTTACCTTTCTCTTGGCTGTAATGATGGGGTAATGGCAACAAATTATAACTTTTTTTTTTCTAAATTTTATTTGATATTGGTTCATTTCTATATTTCTTATAAGCACATTCATATATTTTGATGTCTGTTACTTTTTGCCATATTTTGTATGAAATTCTACATGCAGTACAGAAAGAGTGAATTTGGTCAAAACTGAAGGTCAAGCAAAGGTTGGAGGTACCCTAATCTGTGTTTCTGGTGCAATATTAATGGTTCTGTTTCGTGGTCCAGCTTTGCTTGGACAGAAGGATGCAGACTTTGCTGCACAAAATGACATAAGTGCCAGGGGTCAACCAGAACCTGCTGGATGGTTTATGTATAGTTTTCTTGAGTTTGGACTTGAACATTGGCATATAGGAGTTTTATGCTTGATAGGGAACTGTATGTGCATGGCTGCTTTCCTAGCCATTCAGGTATGCCATCGTATGGTTGATTTTTGGATAATTATTAAATATTTGCTTTTTTATCACTTCTATTAGCTAGACTTCTTGTAGGAGGTTTTTCCCCCCTTTTCGATAATTATCACGCAAAATGAATCAGAGCAATCTTTTTTCCTATAAAAGCTGTTCTTTTCTTGTAGTAGATAAAATGCTATATTTTATTTGCTGGAGGGAATGAACATAAATCTCTGTTTGAGCAAAATAAAGAGAAAACAGCCTGTGTGGTCATGAATTTGTTTTGAGGTTTGATATGTCATTCTTTTTCCCTCACCTGTTTGATCTGTGACTTGATATATTTTTAGTGATCCGGCCGCTTCCACTGTGAGGCCTTAAGGTTATATAATTAGATTCATCTTGTCTATAGCCAACATTTTTATGAAGCTATTTTTTTTCTGTAATATACATTTGGCATATCTGTGGTGCTTTCAGGCTGTCTTTACTTGGACAACACTTTGTATTTATGCAATGTCTACCTTTTGCTTAGTGGTTTTCACAAGAAGTAATGGGAGTGAATCTTATAGATTTTCATCATTAACAACTATACTAAATTTCTTGAAAAATAATGCTGACTTATTTCATTATTATAACTATATTATAATTTGAATTTTGCATATATGTGTGTTTTGTTGTAATTAATACTTGCTTATATTATTAAATTTGCTGTTTTTAACAATTTCAGGCTCCAGTTTTAGCCAAGTATCCTGCTAATGTTTCTGTCACAGCATTTTCCTATTTTTTTGGTGCTGCATTGATGGTATCAACGGCATTTCTTATGACGAATGAGTCAACAGACTGGAGTCTGACGCAGTCTGAGCTTTTGGCAGTTTTGTATGCTGTAAGTTTCTCGTGGATTTTATATTATCTCAAATCTTAAAAGTTTTGCAAGTTAATTTATTAAAAGACTAGCCATTAAGCTGTGGTTTTATCTGAGTTTGTTGATGTGCGTTAGTTTTTTTTAAATCTTTTGGGTCAATGCTTGATATGCTAGCTTAATGACCAAAACTTAGGTAAGTGCAGGCCAAACTACAGGGATGAAAGTGTAAGAAAAGTTTCATAGAAGGTGGTAAGGCACTTCCCTTTTAGAAGGCCTTGTAAACTAAAGGGTGCATTATTTCTTGGAGAGAGAAGTATTAAGTATAGGCATAGATTTCAATAAGGAAAGTTTAAGAAACCTTATCGTGGAAGGGGTAACCTTGGTTTTCTCAAAATGTGAGAACATTGAGTCTCCATTGGTAGATGCTTTTGCATTTTACTTTTTGCTATTTGTCTATGGTTTTTATTCATTTTTATTTTTTGCTTTTTGCTTTTTGCTTTCTGTTCATTTTTTGTCCGAAAGGTAAAAACAGAAGGCAAAAACACCAATCGAACAAAGCCTAAGTATGGTTAAACTGATTTGTGCTGTCCTTGGGCTCTATAATTTGGTTTTTAGTAACTACCTATGATGGATGCTGGATATCCCTTCTGATTACCAAAAAAAAAGAAGAGGGAAACATTTATACATTTGGCTTCATGGAAGTAACAATAATGTATTCTGACTATTCTTCCTGCTACAGTACTTATTTTGTATAAAACTTAGCTGCCTATCAAATAGTTAAACCTGAAGCTATGGATATTTGGCTTTTGCAGGGAGTTTTTGCATCTGCTATTAACTATGGACTCCTGACATGGTCAAATAAGATCTTGGGGCCTGCTTTAGTTGCTCTCTATAATCCACTTCAACCTGCAGCATCAGCGTTGCTGTCAAGAATTTTCCTTGGAAGTCCAATTTATTTGGGAAGGTTTTATTTCTGTCTCTTCCACCACAAATTAGACCTTAATCTGACATCGAGAACGAAAATAGTAGTAGAACTTAATCTCTCATCGAGTACAAAAGTAGTGCTTAATCATATATTCACTTCATAATTCCTGTTGCTCAAATTGGGTGTGAACTTATTTGGTTTTCCTTTCATATTTGTGGTAAACAGTGTTATTGGGGGATTTCTAATAATCGCTGGTCTATATATGGTCACATGGGCATCCTACAGAGAACGGCACACAGCTACCGGGATGATGCCTCAGATTGTCCGGTCCTCTGAACCACTCATTCACAAAGATACATCAATTAACAAGAAGCCGTACCAGAGAGGACACCTCTTCTCGGGGCCATCTGCTGTGTCACCAAAATCCAGTGATTAACTGTGTAATTAGATGTGATGTAAAGTTCCCACAGGGACATTTACTAAAGACCATGTCGTGAACTTTGGTGGGTAGCAAAAGAAGAATGTTTTGCAAATTTGTTACATTCTCTTATAAAAAGTATCATATTTAATTTTGTTATCACCACCATTCTTATTCGCAAAATTTAATTAATTATTCATTCAAAGGCATAAAACCCAAGTACCAAACTGGCTAATGATATTTATATTATTATAGAATTTAGACCAAAATGTAAATTCTAGTTAACTAAAAAGGCACCACTTTTTTTATTTTTTTTAATCCATCAATTTTAATCATCTTCTCCTTCTCCGGTAATTTGTTTAATATATTTCTGTCTATGTACATGAATGGCTGGCTCACTTCATTACTCCTTTGCAAATGTTGAGTAATCACCATTTTCTTTTCCTTTAAGAAATATCCACATCCGTGGAGTGGAAAACTACTATATAATCAATCTACTGTGAACATTTCCAAAAATTCGATTAAATATGAGAATTAAGAATGTGTTAATAATTCTTTCATCTATATATAGAAATCGAGCAAGTGCTTGTAGGGGAGATGAGCCTTTTGTTTAAAAATTAAAATTATCTTTATTTCGGAAAAAAAATGAAAAATGAAAAATAATTATTTTAAAATAGACGTGATAGATAAATTTTCGGAATCATATCATTTACAATTATTATAATACAATTAACTGTTCACAATTCTGTTAACAAAATTTCATATTGCTTGTTAAAACCGTAATAATTTTAACAAGGAATAGTAGAGAAGTTGACAAGCAACATCATGAAGGGGTCAATGTGGAAAAAATAGAAAAAAGTCTGGGTAACTTTTGAAAATACATGGTAAGCAAATGAATTGTTTAAACAAAAATATAAAAGCAAAGTGGGAAAGGCGGAATGGAAAACCTTTTCTATTTTGTTTTCTGAGACGGCAGGAAAGAAAAAAAAAAAAAAAAAAATACAGAAATCAGAAAAAGAGAAGAGGGAGTGAGCAGAGAGATACCCAAAGGCCGAAACCTCTTCTGTTTTCCATTGGATCTGAGACACTGAATCCCCAACTGACAGCAATATTGACTATAAAACAGTTTTGGCTCTATTTTCATTTGTTTATTTGTAAACAAAAGGCAAAGATCTGGGGAACTCCTGCAATCTCAATCCACACTCATACCAACTCTTCCCTATAGGTATTCCTCGAACTTGGTTTTTGTTCTTCACTTATACCATAATTTATTTATTTATTAAAGATCCGTCTCTCTAAATTTCTTCAGTCTTTGCCTACCTCAAAGTCTCGCATAAATTTAGCAAAACGAACATGATTTCTTTACACATTTGCTTTTCGATTTTCAAAATTCTCATGTTTGTTTTTCTGTCTCCGGCACCAAACGCGTTATTTCAAATGTATGAAAAACATCAATCTTTGTTTCTGGCAAGAGCCCCAGAATTGAACGAACGTTGCTTCTGAATACGTTTATAGGTTATATCATTGTTTGTCAAGTTTTTTTCATATATGCACGACTGATTTGATTTTATCATTGGATTTGGGCTGTTAGGATTCGTGATCGTTGGTATTACCTGCTTGGTTGCCATATTGTGATGCCTTTGTCCATGCAGTGACATTTTTGCCAAAATCAATGTGATCAACGAATTGAACTACATTGCAAATTTTATTTTGGCTGTCTTGGCTAGTATGCAAACAGCAAGGCGGGCAGAATATATTTTCTAAATTTTGACGGTGGCAAAATATACCCAATAGAAAGTTACTAAATTTTATGAAAAATAGAAGAAATGGTATTTAGTAGAATTGCTGAAGCAATATCTGGTGCATCAAATCTTTTACCTGCTACACAGTCTTCTGCTGCTTCATATATGTCAACTGCTTTGTCACCACAGGGAAGTAAAAATGCTGCCCACAGGTTTGGTTTTGCCAACTATGGACGCCAGAATAATTTGCGCCTCTCCTCATCACTCCAAGATTTCTCATCATATCACCAGCTTGATCCAGAAGCAGCTGATCTCATGTCTGAAACTGACAAGGGCATGACCTATACAAAACCCCCTCTACAGCGAGAAAATGCTGGGTCAAGTTTCTCAAAAGAGAAGGGCTTGCCTGGTGGAACCTCATTTCTGCTTGGAAAGTGGGTGCGACTAATTGTGGTTTTCTTGTGCCTACTTTTGTTGATTTTTTTGACATATATGGTTTGCATTTACATTTATTCAAATTGGTCTAAAGGAGCCTCCAAGTTCTATGTTGTTCTGGATTGCGGAAGTACTGGAACTCGAGTTTATGTGTATCAGGCATCAATTGATCACAAGAATGATGGTAGTCTGCCTATTGTCATGAAATCATTAACAGAAGGTCTTTCTAGAAAACCGAGTTCACAAAGTGGACGTGCTTATGATAGGATGGAGACTGAGCCTGGCTTTCATAAGTTAGTGCACAATAAATCTGGCTTGAAAGCTGCCATAAACCCACTCATTTCATGGGCAGAGAAGCAAATTCCTAAACATGCACATAAGACTACTTCTCTTTTCCTGTATACTACAGCTGGTGTTCGCAGGTTACCAAGTGCTGATTCAAAATGGCTACTGGAAAATGCCTGGTCAATACTAAAGTATTCTCCCTTCGTATGCCGCAGAGAGTGGGTTAAGATAATCAGTGGGACAGAGGAAGCCTACTTTGCGTGGACAGCCCTCAACTATCGCACGGGCATGTTGGGAGCCATACCTAAGAAGGCAACGTTTGGTGCTCTTGACTTGGGTGGATCATCATTACAAGTTACATTTGAGAATGAGCACCGTCAACATAATGAAACCAACTTAAACCTTAGAATTGGAGTGGTTAAGCATCATCTTAGTGCCTATTCTCTCTCTGGATATGGTTTGAATGATGCATTTGACAAGTCTGTAGTTCATTTATTAAGGAGGCTCCCAGATGGCTCCAATACCAATCTGGTTAATGGAAAGATAGCAATTAAACATCCTTGCTTGCACTCTGGCTACAAGGAACAATATATCTGCTCTCAATGTGCTTCTAAAGATCAAGAAATTGGTAGTCCTGTAGTTGGAGGGAAATTTTTGGATAAAGGCAGAAAAGCAGGAATATCTTTGCAACTTATCGGTGCTCCAAATTGGGAACAATGCAGTGCAATTGCCAAAGTTGCTGTCAATTTATCTGAATGGTCAAATTTATACCCAGGGATTGATTGTGATTTGCAACCTTGTGCTCTTTCCGATAGCTTGCCTCACCCTTATGGCCAGTTCTATGCTATGTCTGGCTTTTTTGTGGTATATCGGTTCTTCAATCTGTCTTCAGATGCTGCACTTGATGATGTACTGGAGAAGGGTAGGGATTTTTGTGAAAAAACCTGGGAAGTAGCAAAAAACAGCGTTGCTCCACAGCCCTTCATTGAACAGTACTGCTTTAGAGCACCATATATAGTATCACTCTTGAGGGAGGGCTTGCACATCACTGATAGTCAACTTGCCGTTGGTTCTGGAAGTATTACATGGACAATGGGCGTTGCACTTTTGGAAGCTGGGAAGTCATTTCCAAGCAGACTGGGGCTCCGTCGATATCAAATACTGCAGACAAAGATCGATCCTATAATTCTTATTGCCATTCTTTTCATGTCATTGATTTTGCTTGTTTGTGCACTATCATGTGTTAGTAATGGGAAGCCGAGATTTTTCTGGAGGCCATATCTCCCTCTTTTCCGGCATAACAGTGCATCCACTACATCTGTTCTCAATATACCATCTCCTTTCCGGTTAAAGCACTGGAGTCCTATCAACTCAGGTGAGATATCTTGTATGACTTATTCTTTTTGGCATAGTTCTGCCACTTTTCTTTGCTCTTTTTTCCATGGGAGAGGAATTCTAACACTAACATTTTTCCTTGTTGGGATTCCTTCCATACAAGGACACCTATCAAGTTTTATTTTTACTGTTGTTCATCTGAATAATGCATTGCAAAAAAAGAGGCCACTAAGCAATGATGCTGATTTTTTTAAGATTTTAAAACCTGATGCATGCCTTGAGGACCTACTGTTCACATGGATGCCTCAAGAATATCTTTTCAGGATATGGATACTAATGATGAAGTTCTTGGTCTCCAATCTCTTATGAGTTTGATACTCAAAACTATGCATTTGCATTATACATCTTCGAGCACTTGAAAGTTCTTCATTTTTGGAGGGTTTTTTTTCTTGAAACACAATAATCTGAATCCAATGTTGATCCTAATTTATTTTTGTCAGCACAAGACAGATACTATTTTAAATTTGCTCACCACAGGATCCATGAACTTGAAGTGTCTATTTAGTATGTGAGCTTAAGTGAATCATCTTTGTAGTCAAAACTTTTCTATAAATTACTTTGTTTTACTAGTAGATGTGAGCTTCACCATTCATTTTTACATTCTCCAGATGCTCTGTAGAAGCCTGCAAGTTACAAAACTATTGTACACTACCTTCAAAGACAGAAATCCTTAAATAAGCAATTTATATGTCAAATACTACTTTTTTTGCTTGTTAAATTTACTTATCCACAACTTCACAGTAAAGGGGCTTGAATGTTGTTACTCTAATGCAATTCTTATTACTTGGCTAGTTATTACGATCTTTTCTATAATCCTTGTTCTATCTTTGAGGGAAATGTCATATTTGTTTTACAGGGGATGGAAGAGTTAAGACGCCCCTAAGTCCAACGGTTAGTGGTTCTCAACAAACACCATTTGGCTTGGGACATAGTCTTGGCAGCAGCATCCAGCTTACAGAGTCTTCCTTGTACCCTTCAACCAGTAGCGTTTCGCATAGTTATTCCTCCAATAGCTTGGGGCAGATGCAATTTGACAGTAGTAGCATGGGATCCTTCTGGTCCCCTCACAGAAGTCAGATGCGACTGCAAAGTAGGAGATCACAATCTCGAGAAGACCTTAATTCCTCACTAGCTGAGGCACAAATGATGAAAGTTTAGGAAATGCTCTGCAGAAGTTTTGGTATGCTTATATCTTCTCCCATTTGCATCTTACTAAAATAGGAAAAGGACATGAGAAATTTATAAAATTTGTTTTCTCTAATTAATTATAGCCATTTTTTTGTAACCTACATAACTTCAGTTCTAAAGTGAGTTAACAGATTCATTCATTTCATACCATAAACGTGTTAGAAGTACTGCTCAACCGTTGATGGGGCCAGTTACTTGTCTAGACTTTTTATTTGTCTCTGACTCTCATTACCTTGCCGGGATCAAAAAGTAAAATACGATAATATAAAACAAAAATCATTGCTCATCAACATTAGTGCTTTTGGATCTAAGGTATGCTGTGTTTCTTTTGAGTTTAAATTTGAGATAATCATTAACGAAATGAATGTTTTATACTTGGATCTTTTAATGAATGGCATTGAGTTCATTCCAGATGCTGCCAGCATTACCGAATTTATGTCAAGCGGGATGATTCTAGGCTAATATAGGATGGTCTGATCATTGATTCCTCCAGATTTTGCTAGGAAGGAACTTTGGGTCTAGTTAACTGGCTCCCCAATTTACCTTGGTTTTAAATGCACATTTTTTGAGATTTCGAGCATTGGTTACCATTCTTATTTCAGAGGCTAGGAAGGAGCTGACTTCTTCTTGTTCACTCTCCTTATATCGGACAATAATTTTGAGCGTCTACCTCTTCAAGTATATTGCAGCCTAACTGGCGCAGGCCTGATGACACCATCATTACCTGAACCGTCGTTCTTATCAGTTATCACACAGCTAGATTAATAGTTTCTTGAGGACGACCGGAAAATTTTTCTTTTGACTGATTATCAGCAAATGGTAATGTGAAAAGCTGTTAACGATGTGAATTATATGAGAAGAAATTATGGAATATGTTTTATTTCCCTATAGATTGCATTGCAAATGATATTTTTCCCTGCCCTGCCCCTGCATGTTGATTTTGAATAAGTAGCAGTTTGATGATCAGTGGCAATTTGAAAAGGATGGCCTTATCCCAAACTAGAATTATTTTCGATTTAAATATTTTTACATAAAAAGACTTTTTGTACCATAAAGAGCCATTGTCTTCAGAGTCCGCTTTCGAGGATGATCACAGACAGCCACACAAATTGAAATTTTCTTTCCATATTTATCAAGTTTGTCAGCTTTTGAAGGTCAATAATTCCTCACTCAGGACCGTATACTTCCCCACCATACTTTTCCTGTCGGTTACAATTGCTACGCTACACCTGGAACCATAAAAAACAACAATGTTCGTCGGAATGCTACTCATTTGGACACTTTCAAGTCTGCAATTAATGCCATTTTACACGTTTTTCTGTTACACCGATCTCATCTTGCCAAAATCATGCATGGATCCACAGATAATCTGCTGCTATTATTTTTTTAATATCATTAATGAAAATTTAAATTATAAACTTGTTAAATGATATAATTTGAAGATGATTTATAATATTATTTTTTTTCTTTCATTTCCATTCGGCTAGAGCCTATCATTAGAGATACCAAGAGTTCTTTACATAAGTACTTAATTTGTGGTAATTTATCAATAATGCTACAGGCCAAGGTAATTGTCTGCAAAGAAATATTCTTTGATGCTTGAATAACAGTGATAAGTAGTGTAATTAATTATCAAAGGAGTTTTTCTTTTAAATTTTTTTTTATATAAAGTAAGAGTAACAGCATGCACATATGTTTTTTGCTCAATATATATTCTTATTGAAAAAATCTTAGTAATTAACTCATCACATCAGAGTGATTTCTCAGCAAGTTATATGCTATCTTCTGACACAAAAAGCCCGTGGAAACCATAAGGCACCCGTTGGGGCAGCTTCACCTCCGCTACAACGTCAAGATTAGCGGACTTTGCATCCATCACCAACAAACTTGATTCTCCAGGGCTTTCATTGTGAACAAATGACAAAACATAGCCGTCATCCTCCTTTGCCTCTGGATTTCCCCGCTCTTTTGCTACTACGAAGGGTTCCCCACCATAGCACCCTGCTGCTCCATATATCCGTTTACCCACCGTGCACTCCTCTAAGTCTCCTTTTGACACGTCCAACTTCACCACGCCAGAAATTTTTGGCATTGGATCACCTACTGCTGCATAAACGTATTTGTTTCTTTTGGCAACGTATGCTGTATTGATCACTGCCAAGTCTAGATTTCTTGTAGAAATGGGTTGCCTTGTTACTAGCCCTTTCTTTAGATCTATTCTTACTTTCTCCACTGGGGCATGCACAAGGTCCATTCTCTCCAGGCTGTGTTCTACTGATAGTATGTTCGGTGCTACCATGACTATGGCATTGCCATCATCCTCATCCCATGCATTGATCACATGTATAGGATTGAACCCTGGAGCATCAAACCATTTCATCTCTGAGTCGTCTTTTGAATACCTAGGGATGATCCCAACTTTGGGCAGTTTAGTCAGATCTGGACTCACTGGAGAACCCATTCCAAATATCATTTTCATAGGATTTATCCCTATTTGTATGTCAGAAAAAATGGCATACTTCTTCGTGATTGCAAAGTCATGGATGAAAGATGGACTGGCCATAGAGAATATCGGCACATCTGGCTGTTTCTTTCCATTCGCATCAAAGTAGAAGTAAGTTAGGAATGGGCGACGTATGGGGCCATAACGAAAAGCAAAGGTCTCGCCCGTGTCAGGATCTACCTTGGGGTGAGCTGTCATGCTCCTAAATAGCTTTCCATCAAAATCATGGCGACCCAATGTCTCCATATCCCCATTGGATGTCAAGCGTACATCATAGGGTAGATCTGACTCACCAAGCGCAAAGAGACGGCTTCCAATCAAGGCCAAACTGCTATTTGCAAGACCAATGCCCTTTGCAGGATGGTATTGACCAGTCAGAATTCTGGCAGCATAAAGAGCGGAATGCGTGGCAGAGGAATTTAAACGGTTAAAGCTTGAGAATAAAATGGGAACAATGGGGAATCCAGCCTCACGCTCAGTGTTGTTCTTGTAGGTTTTGACATAGCAACTACACAGAGTGGCTCGCCCCTTGGAGATTCTGACACAGTGAACCATACCATCACCATCAAAGAGATGGTAAGGACGTCCACGAGGAAGGTACTAACGGTTGGGACCATTGCGTAAGTATGCACCATTTAAGCATGGTGGAAGTGTTCCTTGTATTACCTGGCAATCTGTTGGGAGAAGCTCATCAACTGGGGCAAAGTTCCCAGAAAGCACGATCGTGGGATCCAGTGAGGGGCTGAGAGGAGGGTGTATAAAGTTTGTGACAATGTCATTCACCGCATTGAACATGAGTGTGGTTTTTGGAGATAAGGTAGCAGTGTAGGATGATTTTGCAGTTGTGCAAATGTGGGGAATTTCGTCAATTCTAACGGAGAATATGTGAAGGTGAGGAGGTTGGGAAAGAATACTGGATTTAGTAGCATTAATGTTAGGAACAAGGAATTTTGGGAGGAAGGAGGAGGAAAAGGAGTCCACGTTGGCTGTTGCTGCCACTTCTGCCCAGCCAGATTTTAAAGAACTTTTCAATAATTGTTGCACGTGCACAAGACTAAGCCAAGGTAATATTTGTTGTTAAAAATTAATAATCAAGCATACAATAATGATCTTCGACTGCCTGATTTAACAGTCAAAATAATTTTAAAAAAAATATCTTTTTTATTATAAAATTTTATCGTCTTGAAGGATTAAAAAAAAAAAAGCATATAATAATGAATATGATAATATTATTTTATTAATTAAGTAAATTAAATGATATCATGTTATTAATTAATAATTTTTTTAAATATTGATTTTTATATATTTTTAAATTGATATTTATTTATTAATAAAAAATATTATGATAATATAAAAAATTTATATATTAATAATGTATAAAATATAAACTCATAATATAAACATATAAAAAGGTTCATGAAAGAGACTATATATAACAGATATACTCTAAATAATTAAAGTTTTTATATTTTTATAGGCTTGAAAAACGTTATAAAATCATTATTTCAATACTATTTCAAGTAAGGTTGATAAACTTAAGGGATAGATGTAGGCCCACATCCCCTACCACGGTCACCCTTTTTTGGCCACCTACGTACGATATTTATTATGTAAGAAATTTATTCATGCATCTGTTTATTATTTTTTTTAATGAAAATTCAGATCAAATCAAAATATATCATATCTAATGACTTAAAACAAATAATTATAAATTATGCATTCAAAATAATTTTAACAAACAATCATCAATAAAACTCAAATCAAGACATTCTCGTTAAAAAAAATAAATTTTAATCAATTGAACCAATTACTTAATAGCTTATTATTATGTTACACCGGCTATTCAATAAAGTCTATTATCAAAGAAGATAAATAAAACATATCATACTCACTAAACCAAAAGGAAAATACAATTCCTACAAGAAATTATTTCACTAAATATATACCTTCTTTAAGTGTCTTGTAATGGCAACTTCTTGCAACTCAGTGAGAAACTTAATTGCTGTTCCATTCACATTCGAGATGAGAAATTGATCCTATTTTCTAAAGAAAAGAAAAAAAAAAAAAAAAAACACTTCTATGGCAAAAACACTGCTTCAATGGGTGAAATGCAACCGCCGGACTGCCCACTTAGATTCAGTCGTTATAATCAGCAGCAGAATCCACTTAGATCCCAATTGGAGATCATTAACCGTACAATTTTGCAGCAGGGAAGTTGTAACCCAGCAAAAACAGGAGTTAGCCATTACACCATGATCCAATTCATATGGTGATCTTATTTACTTGCTAACAGAAGACCATGTGAATGTGATTGAATAAAAACCACTATCCATTTGATATCAGCAGGCACTTGATACACCCACATAACCCGGACGAATTCGATTTGATAAAGGCCTGGCAATAAGTCCGTCAGTTACCCAACCCACCGATTCACTGTCAATTTTAACATGGTTGAATTCCCTTTGCACATACTCCAGAGATATTTGCAGCCTCCCCCCTAGTCTGCAGTCAGTGGAGGCACCACTTGCTTCAATTCCTGCATTCCTCTCCAACCAGTACAAATAATTTACCTGGAACAGTGACTTGAGCATATCTTGTGGGGAAGAACTATCTTTAAGCACTACCTGATCTATGCAAAAAATTCAATAACACAAAAGAAATTAGTACGGCCCTTTTTGTTTATCATTTTCATGCCTCTCATCCAAGTAAAAGAAAGACAGCAGCTAGCCTATAGCACTAAATCATCATTGAGGTCCTATTCTGATGGAAAAAGTAAAGTGTTCAAGAAATTTAAAACCAACTTCTGCTTACAAAGAAATTTGTAAGGGTGACAATAAGATAAAAACAGGACCAAAGAAAAGAAACCAAGCTAACTCCTCTCAAGAACAAGTAAAGAATGCTGCCTGTGTGTATGTGAGAGAGAAAAGGAATGGACGATAAATGCCATAATAGTTATGTACTTACACAGAATTTTCCTTCCTGTTCAGTCAGAATGTAGCCTTCATCTTTATACAGACTGAATAGTGCTAATGCATCCTCCTTGTTGTTGACAATATCACTGAGTTTTGACCCCAATTGCAGCCGATGTTCAATTTCAGAAGCTGCCTGCTTTGCTTCTGAAGATAGTACAACTGATAATTCCTAAAAATGGAAATTTGCGATAGAATCTCTCAGATGGTATACTAACAAATTGTTACAATCAACCTTCCAGATGCTGTTTATTCATACTCTACATTAGTCAAAAATTTTAGAAAATTTTGAATGGTGAATTGACCATTTTACTGCATGGGTAAATTTCACCATTTTTTGAAGGGTGAACTGATAAGAGGGATTGGAAGAGTGTCGGAGGTTATTGCATCCCATGCTTGACCAATAGAGCAGGCTCCTCTCCATCCCAAGCTGAATGCAACAATCAAGGACTAGAAGTCTTGAGCCACGGCAACGGCACAAGTTCATATTCTTGAGAATAACAAATATAAAGGAAATCCTTCAAAGGAGTTTTCTTTTAATTGCATTAGAAAATTAGTTGAATCACCCCAAAAATGAAGAGATTTTTTTTAATGCTTCCTTTTAATGACTAATGGTGTATTATCTTTAGTGAACTCAGCATTTGTTTAAATGCATCTGCAATATCATATAGGAGGAATTCTCCTTTAGAAAAATATTCATGATGCAGTTTTTCATAACTAACCATAATATTAGGCACACGTGCTTGTTTATTCTCTGAGCCTTCATAATCTTTTAGGTTATCCAAGTTTATACTTCAAAACCACAATATGGGTTCAGTAAAACAACAAGGCAACCTAGAAAAACATCTCTCTCAAAAGCCACCTTAAGTATGGATCTTAATCAATCAAGCAGAGTCTGATATTAACTTTATTCAGTATAAGACTATTTAGTAACCATCAACCAAGAGATTAATTAATAACTACCAACCAATAGAGCTTAGAGAGAAAAAGTAACCCACTCTGTTACCAGAAAGTAAATTAAGGAATGGTACTGCTGGAAAAAGTGGTTCCTCATCATTGACCTCTTTGATTGAAGGTGCCTGACCACTCAGGAGATATTCGCTGAAAACCAAACCTGTTAAAACATTGAAGGAATAGGCTTTCCATTATATAATGAACTAGAACTCTCATTTAACAACAATGTTTGGACAGATACATTACTCGCACGATAGGGATTTAAAGTCCTCAGTTGAATAGATTGATATGACTTCAGATTGCAGTACATGTGGATCCAAGTAACCACACCAAATGAAGCAAGGGAAAAAGATGTAGATGAGCCAATATAGTTAGCCAAGGCGATACCAAGCACAATTCCAATGGACTTGCTTACCATTCCCTGAGCTTCACCCTTAGCAATTACCTAAAATAACTAATTATGTTCAATAAAGACATAATATAGGCCATGTCAAAGCCAAAGTCACTATCATTAACAGGAAAGCCACAGTCATGCCATTAGAGTTAGACATTCCTTTGGGTATTCAAAACTTATCGGATATTACATAAAAAAAAATGCTTTACCTCTGCAAAGTTCCTTTGAGCAGCAAAACCAGCATAGAAACAACTTCTAGTAGCAGCCTGGAATTGATCAGTGTCAACTTTCAGCAACCAAACACCATTACATTGATCAACATGAGAAACAATGGCAACAAGGACAACATGGTAATTATGTTTAAGAAGAGCATGAAAGATAGAACATAATTTTAATTTTAGGATAATAACAAAAAATAACTTCAATACCTGGATGAGAGCAGCTGCTGATCTTCCAGCCCCAGCAGCAGCACCAATAAAAACAAAGAGATGAGGAAAAGCAGGGGTCAACATTTCCAATCCAAAGGCAGAATTTTCAAGGAGATCAGCAAACAACCTCCATCCCTTAGGATTGACATCAAAATGCCTTCCATATTTAGACAACATGATTTTACTCAAATATCCAATTCCATCCTTTAACACCCAATTGATAGCAGCGGCTGTGGGAATAGCTCCTTTCCCCAATCCAACAGCATAAAGCAATGCCTGAACAATGGCAAACAAAAGCGAGCACCAAATGTTTTACAAAATGCCTAAATCAGAAAATATGAGCAAGCAATTAAGACATAAATTACTTGGGTGGCAAGAACGCCGCTGACTTGGCTAGCAACGCCCTGTACGCCTCTCCAAAGAGAGTAATCGAGATAATCACTGGTTACGCTGTCGGGAAAACCTTCAGGGAGCAACAACCGCATGACAACGTCTCTGCATTGCCACCACATAGTTGACAGAGACAACAATTTTGTTAAATTCGAAATCCCATTCGAAGCTACAAATGCATCCTCGGAGAAATCAGGAATAAGCTTAGTCCACTTGCTCCCTCTCACTTCCCAAACGACGTCGTCCTCCAGGGAATCCCCGTTGGTTCTTGCGAGGGCGGAAGATAATTCAGAAGGGCAGAAGCAAGCAAAGAGTGAAGAAAGGAATAAAAGAAAAGGATAAGAATGAGAAGATGAAGAATCGTCGTTCCACCGCCAAGAATCAGACCCGAAGGGCCCATCATCGTTGTTGTTGTTGTTGTTGTTACCGTCGCAACCGCCATCAAAAGAGAGCAAAGGGAAGGGCAATGAGCTAGCAGTAGCCGCATTAACTGGTTTAGAAGACGCCCTGATGACAAACTCAGAAAAGATAGATGGGGTAGTGGGCGCAGAGCTTGAGGGAGATGATGATGAAGGGAAGGCAAAGGGAGAAGAAAGGAACAAGGGCCTGCAACTGAAAGCGCAGGCCATCTCTCTCGCTCCTTCTGTCTTTTACCAACATATAAAATCAGCGTCCTTTATTTTCCAATCGTGTCGAATCATCGTTATCACTTTGCAGGTTTCAGTGTCTAAACTAATTTAGTATCCATTTGATGAGAAGCGAGAAAGGAGGAGGGCGCGGCGCATGAGAGTCAGCGCAAAGGAAGGGTTTTTACGGGTCTGTTTGAGCGATCGCGCTTTTATTTTTGTCGAAATAAAGCATATGTTCCGTTTTACCCCTTTTATAGGGCAACAGTGGTTTTGTATTTTTTTTTGCAAAGAGAAATAAAAATATTTAAGACAACTTTTTTTAATCCCAATCGAATTGTTGAGTGATAAATAAAAATACGATAATGAATAGTAATATTTTTATCAAAGAAAAACCCTTGTCATTTTACGTTTTTAACCTTCATAAACCACGATAAAATACAATTATTTGTTATACACTTATGTCTATATTCATGTATGTTGGATTTGAGTACCCTAATGGGTTCCATAAATGGCCTTTCCGACTAATAATTTGGTTCCTCATTCCTTCATGTTATAACAACAAATGCGCCACAGCAAAAATTGAGGGGAAAACTCAGAGAGGGAGTTCCCCCCCTTGTTTGGAGTATTCAACCTAGGATCTGCCTAAATCTCTAATCTATATTTAAGAGTTCATCTGCTCATGTGATCAAAAAACCCATGCTAATCACAGTCGAAGACTTCATCCATTAAACTACACATTTGGCCAAGGAGGATTTGAGAGAGATAGAGAAGAAGGTTATATACAAAATCAAGTTACTGTCAATTGACCTGCGTGCCCCAAAGACTTCCATGATGATTCCAGACGCATTAAATGCAATTTCGCAACAAATGGTTCAAGAACCTCTGCCTCTTCTTCTGGAGCAAAGGCCATACAAATGCTAAACTCTTGCACTGCCTTCCCATATTCCCTGACATTTTAACATCATCCATCACCCAAAGACCTTTACTTAACCTCATAAATTAACGAGTTTCTGAATTGATACCTATTATAATACAGCATCATCCCATGGTCTCTCCTTAGCGCCCGGTTATGTGGCTGCAGAATCGACATTCTTTCTGAAGCCACGATAGCCAGCCTGCAAAGAATTCCAATGTTTAGCATGCCACATATAAAGATGCTCTTTGCAAAGTATAAACTGGATTAACTGCCTTCAAGCTTGAGTTTGGCGCAAGTTTTAGCCGTCAAACTTGCACCAAGACTACCCAAGGTATCAAGACTAAACCCATTACACAAATCCCCCCACCAGAAACAAATACATTATGTAGTTTAAGGAAATGGGGTTATAGGAGGAAACAAGTTTGAAAGCAACCTTCAACCGTCCTTCGTATCAGATATCACATCCTTACCAAATTAATTTGGTATTAAGCTTGTCGGTCAGAAAGTGTACATAAAGGTAAAACTGTTCAAAATACCAGCAGGTTCTGATTTCTCATAAAAGAGTCAGATGAACCAATAAAAAAGCATATTCTCTACATAATCCACAAGGTTTTATGATTCTTAGATACAGCAGCTCCTTACCAGTCAATGATTTATTGGAACGAAAGCCTAATCCCACAACCAAGTGTCACTATAAATTAGAAATAGAGGTTACAGTATTCAACTAAAAAGAATGTGAGCAAAATACAAAAATCTCCTTGCAAACATGTCAATATTACATTTACCACCCATGTTGTACCATAAATAGTGGGAAAAATGTATGCATAGGGAAAGTGTTTTCTAGGTAGAGCAGCATGAGGAAATTAATGCCAGCCCAAGCTCACCAGGTTGCCATTCTTATCAGAGATACCGTCCTTGTGAAGTGCATTTAGAAAGAATAGTGAAAGAATATGGATGAATATGCAACTCACCTTCACAAGATCAACAAGTAATGCAAACCACCTTGTCTATTACAATAGTAATAAAATTCAATACAGCAGATAAAATTAAACATACCAAAGTTGCAGAGCATGGCCTTTACATAATATATGGTGCCAATTACACAGAACATCTCATCTTAAGCTTCAAATGCCTAGGCAGTTCAAAACAGTCAAAGGTTTCATAAGAACATGATTAAAGCTGCGACATAGAAGAAAATATTGGGAAGAAAGTTATGCTACTAAAATAAAAAAGATAAATTAGAATTTTTATCTAAGATCTTGAGGCTGCAACAAAGGAGCATTTGATTTATCAATCTTGTTAGGTTTCTCATCAGCATCATGAACATGCCTAAGGGGAGAAGTCAGCATCAACCCATAATTTGATCTTGAAGTACGTTTCCGGTGAAGCCTCTACAAGTTTTTTTAAGTTTGTTTCATACGTAGGAAAGAAATTTTGAACCATACTTTAAGGCATGAATAATTTACAAAAAAGTACTGAAATGTTGCACACATTATACAAAAAATAATAGAACTTGACAAGGATTGAGACTTACAATTAAATTGGCTAGAGCAATCCCAATAATATCACGGTTTGTAGCTATCTCAAGCCCTAAAAGTGAAGTACCAGTTAAATCTGATGCCATTGATCTGGGGTCCTCCACACACCTTCCATTGATAATAGAGAACAAGCTGTGTCCTGAAGTCACTTTGAAGAGCTCCTACAAAGAGGAGTAGAAGTTAAGTGAATTTATCAACTTAGGCAAGTGGCTAAAACAAAAAGGAACTTGCTTGCAACTTTTCTAAGCAGAAACATAACTATGGATTGGATGAGACATCAAATGATGCATCGCAAAGTATAAACTAAGAATTTATGCACAAAGAAAATAAACTAAAGAAAAAAATTCAAGATTAAAGTACCTCCAGGTACCCTGTCAGGGGCCATATCAAAAAATCTTCCCCAACTTGAGATCCAACAATGGTTAGATCAAGTCGCCAACAAACTTCAATGTAAATTATGCTAAGCAAAATTGCTGTAATTAACAAAATCATACTATTAGACTGCCTAAAATGACAACGAAAGGATGAGCAAGCATATGTTACAATAAAGAAAAACAATTGCAATGGCACTAGATCAAAATTATTAGGGCAAATGCATTGTGGCAAGTGAGCCTTATTGCTTAAAAGAAGTAGAATAAGGCCTTACCACTGCCACATCCAGAGCTCAGTACTAAGTGTAAGTAAGAATGCTTAGACTCTACAAGAACAGGGGATCTTTTGAAGCCTCTTAACTCAAAAAGAACTAAATTGACAGCCTCCAAAACTTCAACCACATGGCAGCCTAAGTCTCTTGAAACTAGCTTTGCTTCAACTTCTTTAGCAATTTCATCCAACTCATTCAGCCACTCAGATATGGGCTTTCCACCCAAAGGCATTCGCTCCACAGAATCCCACTCTTTGGTATCAGATATGGTGGCAACATTTATCCCTTCATTCAGGAGGGAGCAAGCGTCCATTTCTCGGTTGAAACCCATGAATGCTTCATCTTCAGCTGCAACATAAAGCAAAGCCTATACCAAAAGATATCAAGCAAAGTAAAACTTCCAACTTATAAATCAAAAGCATGAATGAAGCAATTATAAATACCTCTTTAAACAACAACTTATCTCGTTATAGATTATCTAGTGGGTACCAACATTTGGCAAGGTCAAACAAAAAAAAAAAAAAGGAAAGAGGAAGTAAGCATGTAGTCATTATATTAGCACCTTAGCAAGAGAGATGTCTTTGTCGTTGGACTGGAAGGAGATCTCCCAAGTGAACTTGTCCCTAGCAGTCTTAAGAGCCTGTCCATTGTATTAGAGTTCAACAGAATATTAGAAAATGGAAATGGAGATAACCTAAGTGATAAAACTAATAAACATGGTGATGAGGATATCCAGAATAGATGAACAACATATATGTATATATTGTTTATAGATGAACCTCCTGGAAAAATTTGTGACGGGAAGAAGAGTCTTTAGTTAGCTGAATCTGATTGGAAAAGAGAGGGTAAGCAGAAGCTGAAGTAGCAGCAGTGGTCCTAATCTTCCATCTCCTCAAGTCCTTGTTATCATGATGATGGTGATCATACCTGATGATCGTAAAGAATAAACGGATATTCCACGTCTTTTCCTACTACAAATCCTTTTTCCATCTCTATATTCATTTTACTACTAATACTAAAATATTCTAATTCCCATCTACGTATTATGAGAAACCCAACAGTCCAATTATAGTGAACCACCCATTTAGCAAAATCAAGTACTAAGAATATAAAAATGAAAAAAAGAAAGAGAAACAAGTTCAATTATCAGAGAATTACCTGATAAAGCAATGATCAGGAAATGTTGGAGAAGCCATAGCTGATGCTGGCACGCAATAGGATGTGCACAACATTTCGCTTCTTTGTCTTGGCTAGCAAATTGCTCTGGGGAAACGCGGAAAATAGAGCTAACATATAGTCTATCACTAAAGCAAGAGAAAAAAAAAACGAAAGGTAAAAATGGAAGAGGATCAAGCGTCTTCTCTAAAGGGAGACGAGGCAGCAGTAAATTTGGACGAAGAAGAGGGTTTCAAGATAAAGTTTGAGATCTTGGGCTCTGGGAACCTACTTCCAAAACAGAAAATGGATGATTTGGCAGATGAATTAAAGCAAGCACAATAAGATAAACCAAATGAAGAATGATTTAAGAAAAAGAAACAAGAATTCCCAAAATCCATAATAAGTTGGCAGATGGACTGAAATTTAACGAAATTAGTTTTTTTTTAAAGGACTAAAAATGGAAGTTGTGTCTAAGAAGAAGAAGAAAAAAAAAGAGCTGGTAGCATGAATTTGAAGTTTACAAGAGAGGAAGAAGAACGGAAGGGGAGGCTGCTCCTCCTCCTCCCTTCCTTCAATTTGGTTGTGGTAATAAATTGATGATAATTGATTTGGTAAGAGCAAACAAATAAACCAAGGTAATGTCATTTTTCCTTTTATTTCAAATTTTCACTTTATTATTTTCTATTTTCTTACAATTTTTAAATCCGAACACAAAGTTAAGAACAGGGATATATATAGTATGTTTTTCAGACTATATTTCCTTTTGGTTATCTTTTTTTTGTCTTTTACTTACAAAGGAAAAAAAAGGTAACTCTCTGCAATTTTAAAAAAGAACTCATAAATAACTAATGATTTGGGCATTCAGTCATTGACTACAAGTTTCAACAGTGGTTTTTAGCAACATTGAACAGCACGGCAGATGGGTTGGATAAGGTTGCATGATAGCAATAATATAATCCAAGGATATAGATGAAGAGAGGCTGCAGCTGCTGCTTGCGGTTGCTTTCACAGTCATATCCCATTTTCTTGAGAGAGAATAAAGAATGGGCAATGGGGAGAAAGTGGCTTGGATTATGATTGAGGTTAGCCCCATCTAACGTTTGCTTTGAGCTACTTCTTCCTGCCCTGCCCTGCCCTGCCTTGTTATGCATAGCCATAAGCATCTCAATGCATATCAGTATATTATTTCACCATAACTTTGCATAAATTTAACATTTTAACAAAATTCCTTTTGACTTTGGATGGAAATATAGTTCTATCGATTTCTATAACGTTCGGAAATGGAGTAATTCTCAGAATCAGCAGCATTTGGTGCATCATCCTCCCTGGATCTTAGGACTTCCATTCTCATCTTTTTCCTTGGACCATATAAGTCTGCATGGAATGGTTAGGATCATCGTCATCATCAGTTTTCAAGTATTTGAAGCACATGGTTGAATGAATTATGCCATGTGCTTTCGTAAATTGATCAACAAAAGACTTTCTTAGAATTACTTTTGGTTTAGATTACTAGGGTCGTTAGGACAATAATCACAGCCTGGACTACTCGGTTTTATCTCAATGTTTGACATAATCACCAAAACATTTTATCAATTATTAGTATATATATAAGTATATAATCATTAAATGACTAAATGATAAAGGATTATCTAAACCTCGTAGATGAAAAATTTTTGGATGAAGGCTTATTTTCCTAATAGAAGTTCCACCCCTTTCTCAATTATGCTTGCATGTGATTTACCCCTTAATCTGTCGTATAAATTTGATTATAGGAATAAGCTGTGGTTTCAGTATGCTAGGACAAGGCAAGAAGCTACATTAAGGGTAAGGTGATGCAGAATTCTTTCTTCATATTGTGGACTAATCTTCAGTAAAATTGTATCCGTCATCCTCCATTACTGCCCTTTCTATGAAGAAACATGAGTCCCTAACCTCCATATTTCGCCATTTCATTGTTAAATACATTACCAAAAGCCTAATAAATTCTGTGATAAAAATCATAATTTCTCAAAGATGATGAGAGAAGACAAGCTGGCATCCGCAAACAAGATATGTTAAAACCATTTCATCTTCAAGGCAAATAAAATAATTATTTAGAACAAAACAGGGGTAGATGAGAAAAATGTAGGGATGGCCTGCCCTGTGTGGTTCATAAGCCCTCGATTTCTCTCTACTGTAACACCCTCCTAGAAAGAAAGAAAGAAAGAAAGAGAGTAATATGTTTATTCCCAATAAATGGGGCTTTCAAGGGTCGATTTAAGAAGCCAGCACTGGAATGCCGAAACTTGTCTATTAGTTTCAAACAAAGCAGGTGCCTTGATGAACACCAACCTGGCCGGGGCTTTGATTGATTCAAGTCAAAATTAATTTTTAAAAACTTTGACTATATGAAAGCTTAATTAATTACATAGGTTCCAAAGAAAGACCAGGTAAAGCAAGACAAAGGAAAGAAAAAAAAAGAGTAAAATATGAATAAACTGGTACTATGAAATTTCTTTGGAAAAATTACGACCTAATTTTTGTATACAAACAACAAATAAAAACTGAAACAATGAGCTCCGTTAACAGGTAAAACCCGAGCAGGGACGTGCTAAGTGCTAACTAGAGTCCAAATTTATCCCTCAGAATTGCTCGGATTTGTCGATCGTTATATATAAATACATACATATATATATCCCCTTTCGTCCAATCAAGCGACAAGCACCAGCAGCCGGTTTGATAAACCAATGAGTTTTAGTGCGACGAAATCAACCATTGTTTACGAAGCCCTAGTACATCTCAACACTCATTAATTTTATCGAACTCTGTGGATATTCCCGTCATCTTTACCGGTAGGTTAATGTATTAGGAATTTGTTAAAAGAAAACTTGCAAAAGAAACAGAAGAAAGGGCACTTGCTGCGATGCAAGCAAATTAAGTACTACTTGCATATTGCAGATACTAACAGCTCTGCATATGCGATGCCGAGTCCAGCTACTATCCCCCGACGCTCCTCATCCGATCCAGACCTCACAATCACAATATCCAAATCTGAGATTCTCAAACATAGGTCTAGCCGCTCCTCAGCGTCCTCTACTCGCCCTCTAAAATTGTCTTATTGGAATAGTTGGAGCAACATCAATAAACTAGGCGACTACGTCAGCCCCAGGCGACGGGGCAACGATTCCTCCAATCATTCTGATTTAACAGAGGAGAGTCTCGATGCACATAATAAGTTGCATGGCATAGTTTCTAATGAGGTTCATATGATCAGCGACTACATTAGTAGAAGTGTGGATGAAAAGAACAACAAGTGCAGTCCTTATTACAAAGGACTCACTGATTCAACCCTCTCTATCAATCGTGAAAAAAATATGTCTGGAGCAGATAGTCCAGGACGTGAAAGCCTCACGACTAGCGCTTCCAGTTCTTGGTCCTCTTTGTTAGTTAAAATGCAAGAATTTGGTTCCAGCTTCTTCACCTTCACAAAAACTGGTAACAAGGGCCCCTCTCCTCCTGCTGCTCCAAAATCTGTTAAACCAACTTCTTCATCATCGACATACACTAAAGCAAGTGCTCCCAATGAGATGAAATCGGAGGAAAAGGAGGCCGGTGATCCTCCTGATGCTCAATTATTTGATAAGGAGAAGCCTTTGAGGGAGAGAGTGTTAGAACCGTCTGCGCCAATAATCTTGCTAGCTAAAACTTTTGTTGATAATGATGAGAAGGAAGAGGCCAATATTCACAAGGTGAATCAAAAGTTCATATTGGCAGACAAGTATCGACCTAAAGCTTTAAAAGATTTCATCTGCAATCGAAGTGAGGCCACTCGATTGCAGGCTCTGGTAAGATTACTTTATCTCCTTTTACATAAATTCTGTAATGTGCCTGTGTTAATATCGTGTGTTGAGCCAAGTCTGAAGTACATTTGAATGATGGACGATGGATGCAGGTGAAATACGGGCCAAGTGCTCACGTTATATTTGAAGGACCTCCTGGCGTTGGGAAGAGAACCATGATCTGGGCCATGCTTCGAGAAACTTTTGGACCCGATAGAGTCCAGGTACCCTAAATTTTGAATATCCGATGACATCGGGCAACATTTTTTTTTTGTTAAGTCATGAAGAGGAGATGTCAACTTTTTTATCTTTTCCCAAAACAGAGAAACCAAAAAACACAGACCAAAGTCAGACATCACTGAATAAAAACATAATTTCAAAAGAAAAGTAGAGAAAGCACCTTAGGGATATTGGAAGCTTGTTTCGCAGTTGGCTACCAGCTTTGCTTAGTTCGTTGCTTCCTATGAGATTGGTGGTTGATCCAAGCCAAAGATGTTCTTGAAAGCACAAATGTCCCCGTAAAGGGGATGATACTTCCAATTAAGTTTGAGATTAGAATCAGAAAACACCGTATAGAGGAACCTATCTTGATAGCAAATGCAGCACGTTTGGAGATTAAAATTGATGATCCTGATAAGGATTTCCCACACAGTGAATGATTTATTCTTGATAGTTTCTTCTTGAACAGCTAAGAGGAATAAAAGTGTCATAGTAAGCTGTAGACTCTCCCTTGGGGTTGAATCAAGGTGTTGTACGTAAGCCTTTTTATAAATCAAGATAAGGTCTCTGGCTTGGAAAATTGCAGCAACAGGGTTTGGAGTTTTCCCCTAAAAAATAACCATGTTCTTGACCTTTCTTTTTGAATGTTTTTGAATATTTTCTTGTTTTTTGAGGTAAATGGCTGCCATGGTGTTACTGCGTACTACCACTACGAATTGCTAAATATAATAGAGGTCCAATAATGCACTTTAGCCTCATGACAGTAACTTCATTTCGGGCAAATAGTCATTGATAGACGATATCTGTTGTTTTGTCTGGTATAGAACTATATATAGTAGCATTGTTTTGTAAGAAGCACAGAAACTCCATTCTCTCTTTTAGTTAACTTACGAGAGATTTCTTTTAATGTTTTTCAGACTAGGGACAAGCGTAAGGTATTTGACTTGAAGGTAATTTTCATTCACTTTTGATCAACTTTTTTGTAAGTGATTCACTTGTAATTAATCTGCTGATTTTGACGTGATAATATAGTTTGTATTTGACTTGTCGTAAGCTGGGATCCATCTTTATAATATTCCAATTACAAAATATAATTCACAGGGCGAATCAATAGGAAGAATCGAAGTAAATGTGAAGGAATCTTCCAAACATGTGGAAGTCAATCTCTCGGATCTAAGAGGGTACGTGAAGCATGTAATTGTGGAACTAATGAAGGAAACACGAACCAAGACCTATAAATCTAATAAAGCTTTGTCATCCTACCCTGAAAAATGTAGAGGTATACCTGAGTAATTCCACTCCCTAACAACAAAAGGCTAATGCGTCACTAATTCCCCTTCTTTTTTTTTTCTGCAGCAATTATTCTAAGCGATGCAGACAAGCTAAGCACAGATGCCCTATTGTATATTAGATGGCTGTTAGAAAGGTATAAGGGGGACAACAAGTTTTTCTTTTGCTGCTCTGACGTCTCAAAGCTTCAGCCAGTTAGGTCACTTTGCACTCTCATTCAGCTACTTCCGCCTTCAAAACAAGAGGTGGGTGGGAACAGCACTGAAGTGATCTGAAGTGTTATATAGTCACACTGCAATGTAATTGGAATCATATCAAAAGACTTGATAAAGTTTTCCTTCTGCCTTTAGATTGTTGAAGTTCTGGAATTTATAGCTAAGCAAGAAGGCTTATATTTGCCACGTAAGTTCGCCGAAGAGATAGCGAACAGCTCCAAGAATAATCTGCGTCAAGCCATTCGTTCATTCGAAGCCTGCTGGCACTCAAGGTGATCAGGAAAACAAGTTTCTATATATTCACACCATTAACTCCATCTTCCATCTTCTAGTTTTTATTACCACTTTTCTCTTGTTTGGTATAGATGCACTACATATTTTTATTCTCGAATTTCAGTTATCCTTTCAAGCAAGACCAAGTAATTTTAACCGGATGGGAAGAAGACATTGCAAATATTGCAAGGAACATAATCGAGGAGCAAAGTCCAAAACAGTGAGTTGTTCTTAGCTTAAATTTGAATTTCTGGGGCTCTCAACTTTTACTATAGCTTAGCCATGCACTCGTTTGGACAATCTTCAATTACAGACTATATATAATACGCGGAAAGCTTCAAATTCTCATAGAGCATGATGTATCTCCAGACTTCATATTCATGGTAAGAAATGTTTCCCTGCAAATTAAATAGCAGCTTGAATTAGTATTGTCTAATTTTATCATCTTAATTGGCAGTCTCTGTTTGAAGAAGTGAAAAAGCATTTGCAAGAGAACCTGCATCCTCAAGTTTGTTGTTTATATGATGAATACAATGTACGAACGCCAATATCCACCTTTTCTTAATATTTCCTCACATCTTATTTCCAATATGTTAGGAGCTAATTTCTTATATTAATTAAGAGGTGTGGTGAAAGCATGATTGGGTGTGAGGATGAAATGGGAACAAAGGTTATCGATTCAGTGAAAAAGAACATGAGGATTTTCTCAAGAATCGAAGGTATGTAAAATAAAGGGACATGCATTTGTTTAATACTGTACGACAAAGATTGTTCAATTCTTAAACTTTTAAGTTTGACATTGGCATGATGGACAAGAAAACAGTCTCAATTTCATTCTCTAGTAATTAAAGAAGTACCTGCCCTAGATAAAGTTTACAGCAATTATTCATAACTAATATTCTATGCTTTCTTATTGTTTATTGTATCCGCAGAGTTTATAGCCAGATTCATGAGCTGGTACAATAATCAATCAAGGATGGCAAATGCAGGCAACACGCCTGTAGCCGATGAAGGGACTTCAAGCTGACTCCTTTGTTAGCTCTGCCATTCTGGCTCATTGACCAACTTAATTAGAGAGATCACAGGCACAGGCTCTAACGTTTTACTTGAGAATGAAGGTAGTGGACTAAGCAATGGTGAAACAATAAAAAAGAATGGTTTGCATTATTAAATTAAGTTGTACAACTGGCTCTACTGAAAACTTAATTTATGCCATATTAAATATATTAAATATTATTATTATTATTATTTGAGAAATTTAATTGTCATGCCGGTAATTAGCTTGGAAACTATAATACCAATTGTTTTATTGCGTCAGACAAATTGAATAACATGAACAAGCCAATAAGGTTGGGAAGACATGGGCCGGACGGGCCTCTAGTGAAAGTTCCTTGTTGGGGCCCAGAAAGAAGAGAAGCCCATGCCCCCCGTCTCGAAGGAGCAATTCAATTCATTACTAAATCTTTTTTTCCCCTTCAATAAGCCGTTTTCAATTTTCGTTGTTTTATTTACTTGACATTAAATCTAAAGCACTAACATTAGTTTTACAATCGCAACACACTTGCCAAATTATGGCTTAATATTTTCTTTCTTCTCTCTTTGGAGATAATAAGAAACAGAGACAACAAGCTTATGGCTCGTCTGCAAAAAACAAAAAACAAAAAACAAAATATAAATATAAATTTTACTACAAAACTGTGATGATTGTATGTATTTTTATAAGTCTATTATGGTGGCTGTTCCCGATCCTTTGGTTGCATAATTTGGTCAACTTTAGACTATTTCAACACCCTTTGTATGTTCAGCAATTTATAATTTTTTTTTTTTGAAACGTTCTAACGACAATCTCGAAGTCGTTGTTTATAAAAAAAGTATATACCTTGGGTGAAAGTAAAATTAAATTTCAGGAGCTATCTTCAATTTGATGCAATACTGTTTGGTCTTGAAATTTGTGTCAGAAACAATTAAGAAAGGTACTTTTTTTAAGTGGGTTTGAACTTGAATGTTGTAAAAAAAAAAAAAAAAAAAAACAGTTAAAATCGAGCATTTATATGCTTCCAGTCTTACGATATCCCAAATGCCGGCTTTCCAAAGAAAATGATGATCCTGATTCCTGAAATAAAATACCCTAATATTCCATGGAATTATGCCGATTACATGTTTTTTAGTCTAAATATGTTGCTTGAAAAAGACATTAATGATATCCTAAAAAATAAATAAATTATTTGTTCAAAGTCTCAGCCAATTTCGTCAGTAATTACGCCACATCAACTAGAGTGATTTCATGGCCATTGCTCCGTTCACAAACAATGCTTCAGTCAAAGTAATTGACTTCTTTTTAATTTTTTTTTTAAATTTGTTTTTGCTTTGATTAAGATTTAAGAGCATTGCTTAACATTTTCCTTATTAACTTACACACATAACAAAAACATAATTCCTAATAATTAATGTCTAATTATGAATCAAACCTACGAGTGATTCATTCGGCGGCTTTTGCGTTATAACTGGCCTCTAAATTACTTATTATTTATTGCTCCTACCTTCAACCCCAAGCCAGCCAAAAATACCATCGTCTTACATTACATACAAGCTTTTAATTTTAAACTCCCAAACCACTTTTCCTGGTTCAGACTAAGAAGAGCGAAAAGCACTTTGCCACCGTTGGTAAGGATCTTCATTCCTTTAGAAAATGCAAGTTGAAAATGCCCTCCCAACAGCTACATTTTTTAAAAAGATATGCTGTCCTTTTCAGGCATATTTAATTTCTCTATGTCAGCCAAAAACTCAACACTTAAACCCTCCCGTTTCTTCATTACTAGTAGTATTTTTTAATCTCTTTAAGAAAATATCTTGCCAACAGTATATAGCATAACGTAAATTAATGTAAGTTATTCACACTATCACTCCCTAAATTTTGACAATTCTTGTTAGTTGAAAGCCAAACGTAATCACTGCTACAAGAATTACAGCGGAGAGTAATGAAAAAGACAAATTCATGCTACGTTAGAATCTTAGCAAACTCAAAATTGCAAGATTCCCACCTTTTTTGCAATTGTTTATGTTCACCATAACCCTTTTCTTGTTTAATTCTTATTCAATATATGTAAAAGAAAATTAGTGTGCTTTGGTATGCCGTATGCTCTTAAGTGCATGCATAGGACATTTTTCTATATCATATGTTCATTAATTCTTTTTAATTCATTCTTAGCCCTTAGCTAGGCTTAATTACCTAGTTTTTGCATCAATTTCAGCTTAAGCCTTGAGGACAATATTTTTTTATTTATTGATTTGATAAACAAAAGCATCTTTGCTTCAAGAATTGGATGAATTTCGTTGCTTTTAGAGGAAGAAACTGCATAAAATTTTTGAAGTCTGCTTACACAATAGAGTTGAAGCCTTGATTGGTAGGTTAGAATCTTATTGGGGTTTATACCCTCCGTTTGAGAATTTGATTTACAAAGACTCAAATTCAATCTACAAATGATTGATAGAATCCATTTGTTTACAGGCATAAATATAACTAAATATTAATCATTTATTCAAGAGAAAAGCAATAATATGGTCAATGATGGAAACGAGGGAAGCTTGCCAGGTGATTCTTTCCTAAAGCCAGGAAGTACTAAGCAGAGTTTTGATTCATATCAATCGCAGCCAAGTCATAGAAGTTCGGGCGAAAAGAGTGCCATGGAGACTGAGGGGAGGCAATTTTCAGATTTTTATAGAAACTCAAGTGAGGAGCTGTTTATTAAGTCATTAATGGAGAGTTCAATTGGGATGCCAGTACCAACCATGGAGATGTTGGGGTTTAAGAATCTTTCCCAGAATTTTCGTACGGATAGTGAGGAGCTTTTCCGAAGCTGGCTCACCAATGGAGAGGCAAGCAATTTTTACATTATCATCATCTTGATTCGTTAATATACTACTCGAGTATCCATCAATTTTAACTAGGGAACTTATAATCTTACCTTTTATTCTGGTCTGCAACTTGAGGCTGATTGAGTTCCTCCTTTTTTTTTTATCTAATTGTGTTTTCAGAATCAGGGTCACAATTCTTCTAACATTGCACATCGTACTCGACAAGCATCACGAAGGTAAGTTGGTATAAGAAATTTTCGTTTATTTATTTCGGATTCCATCTCCTTCAAGGCCCTTCTTTAAGTTCCTCAATAATTACTCTCAAAATTACTCTCTGATCTAAAAGATCCTGCATTTCCATCACGATTTTGAAAACCATGAAACAAGAAATGAAAGAACCTTCAAAAACTTCTTCCTGTATTTTTAATGCTTATGTTGCTGGCGATGTGAAAATAAGATTGAAAAAAAATTGATGTCAGGGTACCCTGAAAGTGATCCTTTGTTACTTGATCTGGTGATCTATCCAACATGCAAGGGGAAGGAGGGAAAATGAAATAAAAATGGCAATGAGTCAAAACTGTACATCGGCTGCAGTTACGATCATGATCTAGAATGGAAGTGTTATTGCCACCATAAATGTTACTTCTGAGAAGCTATATTTGTACGAGTTCACCTTAAACATCAAATTACGAGAGAAGTAACTCTTAACATTTGAAGAGAGAGGACATGATTCTTCTTACTGCATGTGTCCCAAAAGCTTTATTTATTCAAAAGTCTTCTTGCAACTTAGATTATACGTATTATTACTTGGAATTGAGTGCAGATTATCTACTGAGATGGCCAGTTTGTCCAGTCAGCAGCCTGGAACTTCGCTTCTAAAGAAAAAGAGCAGTGATGTCTTACTTTTGCAAAATAATTCGATTGGGTGCGAAACCTCCGAGGTCTGCAACCAAAATTCAATGAGGTGGCACTGCGGCACACTTCTAACAGCTATTATTTTATAGAAATCTTCATCTCTTTATGTTATTACCAGTATTGGCTTTTAAATCATTACTGATTTCTATGATTGAGAGATTTCCTTTGGGTTCGTTTCTCAGCAGGACTGCTGTTGAAAGGGGATTGCAGGCTAGTAAGTCATATTTAGCACAGGTTAGTTTGTATACAGCTCTGTACAAAAACTTCAATTCAGCAAAGTTTCACGACCTTTTGATGCTATCTGACTTTTTGCTGCAGGCATGGTTTCACAATTCACAACCCATGACAAGGAGTAGATCTTCTGAATTAAGGTATTTCCAATTCATGCTGATAAGAATTCCTATCCATCAATCCATGGGAAGTTCAATGACAATCGCGTTGTTGATCTATATTGGTTTACAGAATAGGGATCTTCCTTTAATCTACCTTACCCACTAGTCAAGATTTGAATTCAAAATCCCAGTCTTCTTTAAGGAAAAAGATTACCATTTGATTATATGGTTATATATTGGCAATTTGGTGATGTTTTTCTCAACTTCTTTCCTTAAATTGTTTCTTAAACACATCACTTTATTAGTAATCCAAAGAGCTACAACCATGGAATTTATTTTCCATTTTAATTTAAGCTTATTAATTGTGTTGAAAAACACAAATGGGACGTGCAATTCAAATTTATCCATACTTTTTGCATATTTCACAACAGAAATTGTTATTAATACCTTTAATACACAATATATAAATTTGTTTTATAGGAAGAGATATGCTGCTTTGCAAAATGCTCAAACATCGCTTGATATGGAGGCTGTACTCAATTCTTATGGAAATAGTTTCAACAAATTGAAAGAAGAATTATCAGATCCGAACGATTTCAATGACATCCCCATGTGTGAGAGTCCCAATCAATTGGGCACATTCATGTCCCCATCAAAATCATCGTCATCTACATTTAATGCACCCCAAGCAGGTCATGTAGATAAAGTTTCTTCTGTTGTGAGCATGCTAAAGGGTACACTAGAACGTAAAAAGCTTGGCAACCAAATTGAGAAAGAAGCAGCTGAAGATAGTTCTATTATGCCTAATGGCACCTTCAACCAAGGACAAAGGAATCATTTTCATAACATTCCAGGGGTTTTTGCACCGGTGTCCCTTGGCCAAGTAACAACTACCGGGGTTGTACAAGTTGTTCAAGGGTCTATGGATTTTGACTTGGAAGGTTTTGTGAATGCCACAAACACAATTCAGATGAGCACAGTTTCTCGAGAAGCTTCTCAAAGTGAATCCTCGGCTGCTGCACCAGTGGTTTCATCTGGTTTTGATGCACATGATGGCCCCAGCAATTCGAGCCAAACCTTAAGCATATGTGAAAGCTCAAAGAAACAAGTTGAAAACGGTAGGAGCTCGGAAAGTGGCTCTAAGTCTAAAGGTATGCAATGCAGTTCACATTAGACATAAGAGGGCTTATATCAGTTTTTTCAACAGAAGACTTTTTTCTTTTCTTCTTCATCTTTTAAATTTTAAAAATTTTACTACAAGAGCTAAAGTTTAAACAGATATCATTACAATCTATATGAATGCAAGAATTAAAATGATGAAGCCTGCACATTTATCTACTATTACAATTGGTTGATTCATTATCTTGTACACATTTAATTTTGACCCTACAACCAGTCTTCTAAGAATCATATGCTGATTTACGAATCATTTGACATGAGTTTTTTCTATTGAATGTACTGCAGATTTCAGAGTAAGGATAATTGACAACTTGAAAGATGATCGGAAGGTATTCTTAATTACTTGATATGAGTTTAATGTTCTTCCCGAACTAGGTTGTGAATCTTGGGATGCTGAACTTATCTTTACTTTGTCCTTTTTACCCTGTAAACGTTAGCAGAGGAGAGGCCTAGTTCGATACGGATCTGTGACATCAGCAGGTTCAGGTACTCAGCCTTCCGCATTTGGCTTCTATTCTTGCAAAAGGGGGCAATCCCTGTCCTCTTGAGGTGGATCTGATCCATTTCATAGAATAAAAAAGGCTTTACTAAGGAGTCAGGACCAAACCAAATTGAATATTTTGATTAAACGATAGTAGTAACTTCTGTGCCAGGAAATGGAGATAGACTTCTATAAATGTATAATATTAATAATCACTACTTTGTGAGGGATTATGAAGTTTTTATGTATTTGCTAAGTTCAAGTCTTTAGTTCCATTCGAATCCCGTCATTCTTAATTGAAATTGAATAAGCTTTCTTGAAAATTGTCTCGTTTCCTCTGACATGCATATTCTGGTAGTAGTACTAAGTACATGACTTCCTTTTGCATTACTTATGCATTGGCATACCGATTATACAACCATATAATCTTCACTAACCGAACCAAAAATAATGCAGTGGACAGGGCAGACCCAACGAAAAAGCGGAGAGTGGAGCGGTCACGAAAGTACGTAAAACAATCTGAGCAACTCTTGGGAGAGAATCCTCTTCCTTACCAATGAGCTAACTTGCAGAATTTCTGTTTTTGTATTTTTATCCAAGCTTTTACTTATCAGCGTTTCCGTGGATATATCATACTACTCGATATTTTGAAGTAGTATGATTTAATTATTGTGGTAGGATGCTTATAGTTGAAAATCTTTTGTTTACATTCAACACTTGATGATTTAGGATGGCAGAGGCAAAAGAAAGGAATTCGACCCCAGCAATTCCATCTGACATGCAAGCAGTCTTAAAGCGTTGTGAAACTCTTGAGAAGGAAGTGCGCTCTCTCAAACTCAACTTGTCTTTCATGAACAGGTAATTACGGATCAATGTTAAGTTACTTATAATAGGTAGATTGTAGCCAATAACTTTGAAGTTGATAGAGTTATGTCTGTTTATCAGGATGGTAATAATTATCTGAGCAAGTGAAAAATGAGTGGCTTAAGAAACAACTCAGGATTAATGTTAATTTTACTAATAATTCCTAGCTGCTAAAATGGTGATTAATGCTATCAGGATACACATGCATTATAAGCTCTGAGAGCTCATGTCTCTGCACTGATAGAATTAGAAGCTCATTCAGCGTCTAGCTGCCAAGAAAACAACCAGATTTCACCTTTTCTGTTTATCCAGTTTACATTGTATTATAAATTCTAATCTCAAATTATGCTGAAGTATCAGGCATGTCGCCTTAAACTTGGTTGCTTTTCATGTTGTCATTATTAACCCAATTTACATTTTGTACTAAAAAAAAAACTCAGAAAGGACTCGGAACAAACTAAGCAGATAGAAGAGCTACAAAAGCAGAACGAGGAGCTGACAGATGAAAAGGAGCGGCTCTTAGAAGAGATTGAGAGGATTATTTCAGAATCAGGCAAGATGTGATTAAGCATACATTGATAGACTGGACTATATATTGTCACTGCAGACATTGTGAGCCCTATAATCTATAATCTCAAATGAAAAGAATGTTAAACCTACGCATCATGAATATACAAGCATAGCCGATCGAATAGCACCGTTTTCTGCCAATATTATGTTTGTGTAGGCTAAAATTAACACTGGTCCAGCAATGATTGCTGAACACAAGTATTTTGTATGAGTAGTGAATATATATAAATATGCATATTGGATAAAGCTTTGTAATAAAATCTTTTAATTTATTAATTTAGATTTTTAATTTTAATTTTTATTTAATCATTTTTAGTATAAAACTTTACCTAAAAAAATTAATTTAAATCTTTCTCTCAACATATATATATATATATGAAATAAATTCATTAATTCTTGTTAGGTTCATAAGAAATTATTTTGATCACCTTTTTATACTCTTTTTTCTTACAAGCTACTATGAATTAATAAGGTTAAATAATTGATTATGCCTTTAATTCCATATCTTCAACTCGTACTAATAATAATTATAATTCAGTAACTGTCATTGCAGCTGTATATTTTATTCATTAATTACACATTGAAATTTGATATTCCACCGGACAACCTCAAATAATAATCCACTCTTGATTAATATATATATATATATATATATATGCTTCACTCATTTTTATTCCCTTACCAAACATGCCTCACATTTCCTTCATCGTACACCAAATACTGTACTCCGGAAGTATTACCCAAACTAAACTATAGGATAGTTTAGGTATTTCAAAAATTCAAGTCCCATTAATTGGAAACAAATTTTCCAAAATTCCAGACTTGCGCTCCCTCTCGCGCTCTCACTCAAATAACTGTTGAAAAGGTGAAGAGGTGCTCTCTATTTTCTGGCCTAGGTTTTGACTTCCCCCCCCTATAACCTTCAATTTCTCTCGGTATCTGAACCCATTATTCTTGTTTTCCCTCACTTTCTCTCCATCCAAACGCTCGTTAGTATCCAAAAGTCTCTAATTTTAGGGTTTCGATGGAGTTCAATCTAACGGGAGGGGCTGTAGCTCGGATTATAAACGAAGATGTGACCACCGAGAGGGACTTGAAACCTGTGCTTCAAGTGATAGAGATGAAGGAGGTTCAAACTAAGTCGAAGAATCCGCAACAGCAGCAGCAAGAACCGAAAAAGATCGAGAGGTTCATGCTGTTGCTATCAGATGGTTCGTTAACGCAGCCAGGGGTGCTTGCAACCAGCAAGAGCGAACTTGTGAAATCCTCTAAATTGCTAGTCGGCTCCATTGTTCAATTGACTCAGTACATTTGCGACGTCATCCACGATCGCATGTAACCAAAGATCTTTTCTTAATTACTATTTTGTCTCTTTCACCATTCATTTGAAGATCTTTGTTGAATATTAAGAACTTATATTTGTTGGCTTTTCAACCTGATACGGCATGCTTTCTTGTTTGTCTCTTGTGTTTCTGGGTGGGTTTATAAATTTTTCTTCTTTTACTTGTTAATTGATATGGTGCTGGAATTGGGTGTTTTGAGGGTTGAGAGGAATGCACTTTAGTAACTTGATCGATCTCTATAATCAATTCTACCGGCATGGTTACTCGAGACTGCAATTTTTGGACTTGCAATGTAAAGTTTTGGTTTTTAGTTGGGATTGCAGTGACTTGTTGGTTTTTAACATATGCCACTTGCTCAAATGCTTGAGTTGTGGAAGATTTAATCGTCATATATGTTATATAGTACTGCATTTTATATGTCTGACTATTGATTTGACTCTTTTCTTTCTTGAACTTGAAATTAATATATTCCAATTAATTGAAATTGTTGTTAACAATTCAAGTGCTACATTCTGAATGATGGGGTCAATGTTTATGTCTATTTAAGCTGTGTGATTTATGTTGCATCTGTGCGTGGGTTTATGTGTTAGTTGTCTTGATGACCTTATGTTGAATTTCATGCATGCAGGATTGTTATTATTATTGAGTTGGAGGTGATAGTTGAAAAATATGATATCATAGGGAAGCCTGTACCAGCACCAAAATCTTCTAGGCTCACACAAATCCCTACTGATCAACCTGGAACAGTGATGGCACAGACTAATTCTTTAGGAGGAAGGACATCAGCAGGTTCAGGTACTTAGCTTTCCGTATTTGGCTTCTATTCTTGTAAAAGGGAGCAAAATCCCTGTCCTCTTGAGGTGGATCTGATCCATTTCATAGAATAAAAAAGGCTTTACTAAGGAGTCAGGACCAAACCAAATTGAATATTTTGATTAAACGATAGTAGTAACTTCTGTGCCAGGAAATGGAGATAGACTTCTATAAATGCATAATATTAATAATCACTACTTTGTGAGGGATTATGAAGTTTTTATGTATTTGCTAAGTTCAAGTCTTTAGTTCCATTCGAATCAACTCATTCTTAATTGAAATTGAATAAGCGTTCTTGAAAATTGTCTCGTTTCTTCTGACATGAGTCATAACGTATAGATCCGTAAATCTATCGTTAGACTTAGAATGAAAAAGAGTCGTCACAAATCTTTTTTGATTAGGTGTGAGTGGTCACCTAATTAAATCTGATTTGCAAAACAGAAGTTAGGTTCGGAAGTCGATTGCGCATGAAGAAAATTGTAGCACTCCCAAAATACCTATCTGAGAGATGGCACCGGTTTAATTTCGAATTATCTAAGCTTTGCTTATTTTTATAATTTATCAAATAATTTATGAATTTTATTATAACAATAAAACCTTTCAAAATTTTTATTCATTTATTTATTATTTTGAAAACATTATTTTCAAGAACAAATTTTTTTTTGAAGTTTTTTTTTTAAATATATTTTTCAAAAAGATATCAGTGGTAGAAAATAAAAAATGGGTTAGAAATAAAATAAAATAAAATAAAATAAAAATGAAAAAAAAAACTTGTGATTGGGTTAGGTCAGGATGCGGGTTTTCGAGTCGATGCGTGGATCCTAAGTGGCCAAAATGACGTGGTGTAGAGGTGGTATATAAGGCACTTTTTAGCATTTTTTTCTCGTAACTCCAGAGCTCTTTTCTATCTACACCCCAAAGCCTTTGACCTCTCTCTAGAAAGTTCATCGGAAAGTTCAATCGAAAATTAAAAAACTCATCGATTTTTGGAAAACTTGCTAGATTCTGAAAATTTTGTTGGAATCTTATCGAAAACTTCAATCTTTGTCGAAAAATTTGACCTGAAAATTCAAAGTTCTTTAGGAAACCCAAAAAAATTCAAAAAAAAAAATCAAAAAAATTTTAAAAAATTTCTAGATCATTTTAAACCCTTCATGAACCTTTTACAACTTTAAAATCACCTCAAGAAACTTAAAATCCCATTAAAATTTTGAATCAAATCTAAAATCTTAATTTTTGAATCCTAAAAACCTTTACTGCTAGACTTTTTTTGAAACTTTTCTAATAATTTTCTTTATGTTTTATGTGTGTCTTTATGTATTCTTGCTTCGCAGATTAGGTTCAATTTATAGACAGCTTAGGATCAATTCAAGAAACGAACAAAATCAATCTTAAGCTTGATTTTTGGGATTGCATTTTGTTCATATGAGATTTTAGGTCCAAAATTTTAGCAGTATTAATTTGATTTTGTGTTGACCTAAAAATATTATGATCTTCATTCACGTGCAAATTAAGCAGAAGAAGAAACAGAATAATAATAATAATAATAATAATAATAATAATAATAATAATAATAATAATAATAATAATAATAATCTAATTGGACCAAAATGGGCCCAGTTAGGTTTGGACAAAAATAGGCCCAATTGGGTTAGGATCAAAATAGGCCCATTTGAGCCAAGATCATAATTGGCCCAGTTGGGCTAGGATTAGAATGGGTTCAATTGGATCTGGATCAAAATGTATGTTTACAATTGTCCCTCTTTGCACATTTTTGTTATACAAGGATGTTGCAAAGACCTAGACACCCATTTTGGACTCGAATTCAAAAAATGACTTGGACCGAATCAAGGGAGAGGATCGGGATTAAATCATGAGTCAAATGAAGCAATCAAGACTAAGTCAAAGTCGAAAATAATAATTGGGACGAAACCACAAATCATAAGCAATGATCTGGACTTAGTCAAGAGCGAGCGATCGAGATAAAATCACGAGTCATAAGAAATGAAACTATCAGGATCGAGTCAAGGTTGAAAATAAATGATCGGGACGGGACGAAATCACGAACCATAATAAATGATTTGGACTGAGCCAAAATCAGGTGATTGTGATAAAATCACAAGTCAAAATGAAGCGATTAAGACCAAGTCGAGGTTGAAAATGAATGATCGAGATGAAATCACGAATCATAAAAAATGATTTGGATTGAGTCAAGATCAAGTGACTAGGACGAAATCATAAATCTAAATAAAGCGATCAATATCGAGTTGAGGTAAAAAATGATTGATCGAGATGAAATCATGACAATAGAGATAATTTGGATTGAACCAAGATCAAGTGATCAGAACGAAACCACGAGTCACAATAAAGCGATTAGGATCGAGTCGAGGTCGAAAATAAATAATCATGATGGAATCCCAAATCACAAAAATGATCTGGACTGAGCCAAGATCAAGTGGGTGAATAATGTAAATGTATGCCTTATCTAGGATGCAAATGAATCATTGATTGTGGTACGAAGGTTTTTGTATTCTCATTTCTATACACTTTTGATAGAGAAATCAATTGATATTATCTTGTATGTTCATCTTCACTGTGCATTTTAACGAAAAAATACCTTTTCACATTTGACAAAAAAACTATTTTTCATCAATCTGGAGGTACATTTTTAACAAAGAAATCATTTTTCATCAACCTGGAAGTATGCAAAGTAATTATTTTTCATCATCTTTGAGGCATTTTTGGCAAAGAAACTTTTGCGTTCGCCTGTCCGTTTATCCGAAAGAGAACCATGGAATTAATTTTTTTTTTTGGTTCATCTTTTGCCTTTATCTTTTTCAATCTTTCAAAATCACACATTTCTTATGATTTTGTTTAATTATTAATTATTATCCTAATTTAAAAGAATGAAGATGCAAGTTATGCATTTCTTCCATTCATTGCAAGATATAAAGAAAAAAGACAACGTATAGGATTTAGAGAATGAAAAGATGACTTTTATTTATTTAGATAATCAGTTACAAATGAAAGGGAAAAGAATACATAGGAGCAGTTATTTTGGGGTAGTAATGCCCCAAGACAAATGCTTAGACAACCATGACTAAATCTTGAATTTCTTACATTCAAAAACTCAACTAAAACATGATGTCTCAAAACTTTAAAGCTTTTTGGAATTTGTTATCCTTTATGGCTTCCCAAGTAGTGCCAATTGAAGCTATCTTTCAGAACCTTTTTCTTTGGATCCAAGTTGCCCTTCTGGGATTTCGACTTGAACTTTTTTTTCTCTTTTTTTTTATTTTGATTTTTTATTCTTTTTGGGGTTTAAATCGCCCTTTCGGGTTTTCGATTTGAACTTTCTTTTTTTTTTTCTTTTTTTTTCTTTTTTTTAATCAAGCAAAATGCTTTTTTACTGCGTCAGAATCGATAGGACTAGGAAGTTCATATCCATTCATCTTTGACAAGATTAAAGCTCATTCCGAAAAAGCTCTTTTTTACCATATAAAGGTTTTCTCAATTCGGAGTTTACTTTTTTTGTCATCATGCTGACTTGGAAGAATTTTTTTAGCACCAACTCTCTCTCTTGGAACTGACAAGGTGTGACATTTTTGTCATGAGTTATCATCATCTTGTTTTAGTACAATTGGCCATGACAAAGCGTCGTCAATCTTTTCTCTTCAATAAAGTTCAATTGCTCATAACGTTCTTGAATTCATTAAACTTCTTCTAATCTCACTTCCCTTAGGACTCTTAGCGATAAGATTTTTACTTTTATTGGCAATACAACATCCATCCCATAAACCAAGAGAATGAAGTTACCCAGTAGGTGAGAAAATATTTATTTGTAGCTGGTTGTAATTTTGTAATATATATATATTTATATTTGTATATCTAGAATTAAGTATTTGTATCTCTAAAATTAAGTATTTGTATATCTAGAATTAAGGATAAAAAATTAGGATAGACAATCCCTCAGTTATAGGATCAGTTTTTAAAAAAGATTTAGTTTACTAGTTTAATCTTTAGTTAGTTATAGATAAATTTAAGGTTCTTGTATAATTTTTAATGAGTAGTTTTTCAATATACATTCAGTTTTATTCTTAGTTTTTCACATAGTTTTATTTTTTAATTGTTTTCATATGGTATCAGAGTTTTAGGTTCTTTTTGAAAAGTAAAATTTTTAACATTATTATTGACTTCTATTTTAGGCTTTCATTGCCAAACCTATTTAGGCTTTTATTGTCGAATCTTATTAAAGTCTTCATAGCCATTCCATTTTTTTTTTTTTAGCCTTCATTGCTAAGAGTCATTTCTGGTTATATCTTAAGATTATTTCAGTTTAAAAAAAGATATCATTACCACCCAATTTGAGAAAATGTCAATTGAAAAAATCATCGAAGTACTACAGATATTTCAAAAACAATGAGAGTTCGACAGAGAAGAAATTGAAAAAATGAAAAATTTATTGAAAATCCTTGAAAAGCTTATTGTGGTATGTTCTTTGGGTAAAATATCTAATTTAGGTAAAATTTTTGGTTCTTATGGATTAAATCTCTCGGTTGAGAATATTACGAGTTTTTGGGTCATTGACTTAGGAGTCACAGATCATATGACACATTTTTTACAAAAGTTTAATACATATACCCTATATCCTAGTAATACGAAAATTGTTGTTGTAGATGGTTCACTTACTATAGTGGTAGGATTAGGAGATGTTCAAGTTAATCCATCGTTTGTTCTAAAAAATGTTTTTCATGTTTCTGGATTATCTACTAGTCTAATCTCTATACAAAAATTTACCAGAGATATAAATTGCAAAGTGACTTTTGATCTTTTTTTATGAATTTTAAGATTAGAGTTCGGGGAAAAGGATTGGACTTGCTAAGAAGAAAGATGGATTATACTATTTTGAGATATCAAATAACATAAGTAATATAAAAAATAGTTTACCTTTGTCATTTTTTTTTGAAAAATCTTTCAATAAA